TTATAATATAAAGCGGAAAATGGTCTAAATAAAATTTTGACAGATGAATAATCAGAATTATTTCTTTTAATTTATTAAGATTTTGACGTCTAAGGTCTTTAGCCGGCTTCTATAATATACAATTGTATTTTAATATCAAATGGAAAACTGTACAAATAAAATTTTGACAGATCAATAACCCGTATTGTATTATTACTTTTTCAGTTATCTTTCTTCTCTACTAAAGGCCTTGCCTTGTCGTTGCAAATCTGGATCTCCATTATTTTCTGTAAAAGCCAGTCTTTTCATGTCTATGTATCGACTACAGTCAGCTTGTCTTATCATTTCATAACCTTCATTCCTTGATGTTTGGGAAAATTAATGCAGTGGTTTCCCGTTGCCTTCTGCATCGCAATGACATCTCTTATTAATCAGGAATGCTATTCAAGTATAGATAAATCTATACTTGATACTAACAATGTTGCTGCCCATTGTTAGGTCCATTTTGGTCGACTTTTACGACGGGCATGGACTGCCGTGGGTGTATTCTTTCCACCACCCAAAGGGGAATAATAATTTCAGTTATTATAATTTTTAATTATAGGCAAGTATAGTTCGCAATATAAAAAATTCTTTTTCTGTGCGTCATGGTGAAAATATAACATCACTAAACATAACTCCGCTCCTCCATTTAATAGCAAAAAATTAATAATAGGTTTCCATTTTCTAAAATTTCCCCTAAAATCTACCTTCGGCAATAATTTTTTCTTACAACTAACTTGATATTTACAATTTTTTATAAAAATCATTATTTTGTCAAATACATGTTGGGATGTGTGTGTAATAAATATAAAGTACATTTTTGAAAATAATATTAATAATATTTGGTATCATTACAGGATATAAAATAAATGTTATACCTTATATTATATTGTAGTGTTTAGATTGTACGCATTTATTTGTCAATTTAATTTTCTATACCAATTATTAAAACGTAATTTATTTATCTTAAATTTTTACTTTTTTGAAATGTTAAATTCGAAAAATGAAAATTTTTAACATATTTTATAAAGAAATCACTTGAATTACGATATAAAATAAATTAATATTAGTTTCCTATGTATTAGAACTTTTTATACAACCGAATAAAATCAATGTAATTTATTATTCATCAATTTAAATATTAGCGAAAATAGATGATAAACACAAAATATATATATACTTTTATATTCTTTTCAGCTACATTAAAGTTTAATTTATTTATGAAGTGTAATATTTTATTATGTTTAGTAATGGAGAATTATATTATTTTATTCTAAAAATATAAATGTTAATACAGAATTATTTGAAAATTGATGTTTTTGTTATTATTATTTTTTTTCTTGCATTACAAAGCTGTGTATTTACCTGTAAAATGATAAATAAATAATAAAAAAACTGGCTCAGTATAAAAGACAGGTACGTTGATATTTTAAAAATCATTTTAATTTATTATAATAGAAAAAATTCCAAACCAGTAAGTGATTAGCGTTAAAAATTATAACATTATTCCCGAAATATTTATCCGTGAATTTTTAATAATTTTTGGTGGTTTTTTGAGTTTAATATTTTAAATATTTACTAGTTTTTAATTAATAATATTTTTAATATAGTTTTAATTTACAAAAATATTAGCCACATGTAATCAATTTTTATTATAGAAAAAAATTACTTCCTTAAAAATGCTGGTATCTAAAAATTGGCGAAATCAGTAATCTATGTAGAATCCAAGACAATATGCATTGTTAAAACAATTTATAATTAATTGTAGGAAGTTTAGTAATAAAGAAGAAGATCAATATAATTGTATTTTGTTGAATTAATCAACATTATGTAACATATGTTATCAAATTTATTATACAAATAGTAATCATGTAGGAAAAAATTAAAAGTAAAAGTAATTAAGACTTAAAATTTTAAATTGTTTAAAGCTAATTTATCTGACGTCATACTTTTCTAACATTCTTAATTTGAATTAATGTATCTATGTCGTTCACGTGTAAAACAAACAACTATACATCAAAATCTTTAAAGAATTTTAGTTGTAAGTTGGTCTTAAAATCACAATAGAGTTATTCAAGTGGAGTTACATGAATAACATAAGTAGATTAAAATTGATACACAGCAGAATAGTCTGTCATAGTGAGTCTTCCATTGTATACTATTTATCCTACGTATTCGTATAAAAATCCTCTTTCAACAGTTTATTGTACTTATAACGTAGAACTTGTTATATTTTACATAAAACGATTTCTTCGAACAAATTTGTATGAAATAATGTAGTTACAAGGTTGAAAAAAAAAGAATACAATAATAGAATAGTAAATAGTACATAATTACATAACTAATTATTAAGTAAAATATAGTAATATAGAATAGAGTAAATAAGTCACATTAAATGATATTTCATCTTTTTTTAGGTCCTAATGAGTTAAAAAAAAAGAGTATCGATTAAAATTCGAATTAATGTTAAGTGTGACGACAACATAATAAAGTGTGATCATTGATTACAGTAGATTTACCTACTCACAATAATATAATACTTGACTTAGGGATAAGGCGTTGAAATTGTGCAATCATAAAAAGTATTGGAGAGTGAAAAGGTAAATACTGCGATGTTTTTGTTCGTGAAAAGGGCAGCACCTAATCAGAGTGTTCATTTGTTGTTCCAAAATGTCCGCTGTCATTCACATACATTTAAATACTGTCTAAAGAGGGGTTGGATATGTGATAACTAATGAATCTGACCGTGTAGTGTAGTTAGGTCGAACTGAACGAACATTTCAAAATATATTATCCTTAATTAAAAGTGAATTTGAAATTAAAAAATATAAATACATATTTTATCAATTCAAGTCTTTTAAAACATATTCGTATTACAAAATTTACAAAAATAGTTTCCCTTAAGATTATGTCACAAACGAATAATTTAATAATTTTTTTTACTTGAAAACTATTTCACCCCATCTACAAGACTAAGCAAACATACTTAAAGAAAGTCACAAAAAACCCTAGAGAATCGCTTGGAATTTAAATAACACGAGATTTTTTAATATACTTTTTTCCGTTCTCTTATGACTTTACTCACTGTGTAAAGATTTGTTAGAGAAATTTTAAGGCTAACTAATGAAAAAAACCTTTTCCACTAGATTATAAATAATTTTAACACGTTTTACATTCATTATTATTAAAACTGTCATTCATAAACTATCTACCCTCATTTTATACTCGTAATAATAAACTAATGATATGTTTCTAACTTTAATTTCTTCAATACTTATAAAATAATACAATAATATTTATTGTAAATTTAAAATAACTAACTTAAATCTATGAATAGTTATTCCTTTTTTTTAGATAATTATTTTGAAGTTTGATTTAATTTAAAAAACAGCTAATACAACTGTTTTTAGTTGTATTTTATAGTTCATATAATAATTGAACTATAAACTTATTATGGTTATTACTGTTAACACAATATTATAACATTTTTTTTTTTTTTTGTTTTCAACCGTTAGGTTGGTTAATACCAATTGGATTGGTATATCCTGGGGAAATTTAAATGCAGTAGTTTCCCGTTGCCTTCTGCACTGGGAACATGGTGCTTTTTCGCCACCGTAGAAGCGCACGTATGGTCACCCATCCGTTCACCTACGGCGGTAAGCGCGGCTTAACACTAGAGTTTTGTCAACAACTAGTGTGACCACCACGCCACACCACGCCCCCATATTATAACATATGACACAAATAAATCCACAAGTTTTAAAAAACCTTTCAATCTAGAAGAAATTTATACTCTAATTTACTAGTTATTAACTATATTTTTACCTTAAATTTTTCAGATTTTAGTTTCTGAATACGAGTTTCATATTATAAGAATTAAAAAAAAAACATTCTTAACTATTATTGTATACATATTATGTACGACAATATTTTATTTCATTATTTGATTATAAAAAGTAGTGGGATTACTTTTTTTAGTGCTTGTGATTACCATAAATAATTTTTGAAGTACTTTCAAAATGATAACATTTTTAAAATATAAACTATTTTTTTCATTTTTTGCAATATATTGACTTTTCGAAAATAAAATTTATTAATTTATGGTATATTTATTAGCTCAATAGAAAAATACCGTTTTATACTAAATTAATTTCTTAGTGAAAATAAAATTTGATAAGTTTATACAACATATAATATAACGATTTTATGTTGTATAAACCTTGTTTATAACATAGCAGATTTAAAAATAGCATAAAATAAAAATAAATATTTGAAACATTAAATTATTATTAGTTAGTTGAATAAGTTTAATTAATCTAAACTATTACTATTTCATTAGCAAATTTTTCTATTAAAATAGCAATAATTTATACTAATAATGCGTTAGAGTAAATGTTGTTGAAGCAAATTATTTACTTAAGATTTTATAATTATTATCGAGTCAATTAATGTAGTTTTACTAATGACAATATTAATTGCTTTTTATTTATAAATAAATATATTCGTTCATAATTTATTTAAATCAATACTAGTTAATAACTTGGTATCAAATAATGTTTGTTAATTAAAAGTTGTAGCATATAACGATCCCGGAAACTAAAGACAATTAAAAATTAAAGTTTTTTGAGGTATAAAATTAGTTTCTTTAAGTTAAATCAGATATTTTTCTCGAGAGGGCGTATTTAAAATGGTAAATTATTAATTTTTATTTCGCGTTTTTCTTTTTACTTAAAATTAACCGGGCCATGAAATATTATAAGTCATATTACATATTTAATAATTAAATCTATTCGTATTAAAATGTTTATCTTGATTAATTGTTTGTGTAGTAAAATTAGAATCATGTAATTAGCTTAATGCACAAGAACACAGATATTTGAATTGTCTATACATCGTTCAAAACTATTATAACAATTAAAACATTTGATTTTATAAAAAACATAAATCTACTCCTAATATCCCAACAAAAAATAACTTACCTTGCATGTGGATGACTACTGACAAGTTCCGCATTTTATTCACGAGTGGTTCAAGTGTAGCATAAGTGAGAGATTGTAAGTTGTTGTATCTAATGTCGAGGAATCTGAGTTTTTCTAAGTGAACAAATGTACGGTCGTCAAGCATTCTCAGACGGTTAGAAGATAAAGACAATCTTTGTAAGTTTGGCAACCCAAGATATCCACTGCCATCAATAGACCTTATAGAATTATCTTCCAATACAAGCTCTTCCAAGTTGACCAACTCTGCAAAAGCCTCAGGTCCTATTCGTTCTATGCGGTTAGTTCGCATGTCCAGCCTTTTTAACGATACCAATCCCAAAAATACATATCTAGATAAAGGGCCAGTCAAATGATTTTCAGACAAATCTAACTCTTCTAATTTTCGCAATGACTCGAATGCACCCTCAGCTATGTAACTAATGTTGTTCTTCTCCATAAACAACTTTCTTAGCATCGGTAGACCTGCAAACACATCATTACTTATTCCATCAATGAAATTGTCACCAAGCGTAACCACACGCAGATCTTCTAAATAAGCTATCGATTCTCTGGAAAGATGTTCAATTTGATTTCGCCCAAGAGCTAAGTCTTGTAAACGAGACAAATTAGCGAACGCATGAGAGTGTACTGTTTTGATATGAGCGTAGACGATTTCCAGAGTTCTCAATTCTGGTAATTGGGCTAAGGCTTCTGTGGGTACAAATGGCAAAGTTTGAATAGAGGTACTGCGGACATTGAACGTGAGTTTTGTTAAGTTTGACTGAGATTTGAATTCTCTCCAAATAGATGATTCCCGTGGTTCACCGTCATTGAATGTCCAACAGTCGGCAGACGTGGCCGTTTGAGGAGCAGGCTCATCACAATAACAAAACAGATTAAGAGTTCTCTTTTGTTCTAAAACACACACGTTTATATCTTTACTTATCTCGTCAGGGTAACTTCTAATTCCTTGCTTTTGATTCTTAACTCTTCTATGGGTGACATAACTGTCGTTTTGGTAAACAAGCAACAAGAAAACGACTACTTTCAATATTTGATGTATCATATCTGTGTCCTAAAAAATAACTCAAGTTAATATATTATTATTGACATTAAACTTATAATACTTTGATTTCGTGAAATAATTTTAAACAGAATTATAACAACAATTTCTCGAAGTCTGTGAAAAATGGTGTTAAGTCAATTCAAAATAAGTAACATATTCCACGTCAATTAAGCTTGGATTTTCTTAACAGATCTACTCAAATTATTTGTATAAAAATTTTATTTCAGGTGTAATATTTATTGTTCAGAATATTTAAATATTAGAATGTACAAAATGCGTTACTTTAAAATCCTAAATGAAAATTTTTTTATTATTTCAATATAGTCAATAGCCAACTATAGTTATTATAATCAATGATTTGCCTAAAATGTTGACAGTACAACAAGGTTGAACAAAATATGACTATAATAACTAAAAAATGTAAATGTACTATAACAAGTTGGTTAATAACTCATAGCTAAGTGATCCATAATATTTTGTTAAGCCATACTAAGATCAAAGTTCTTCATACCAATTACACCTCTAAACGAATCAAAAGACAGTTTGTATGCCATTAAAACAATTTTCTTAAAGTAACTGTTGTCACGATATATTTGTTTTACGATAAGTACCTATTCTCTAATATAGGTACCTGCCCCCGGTAGTGTTTAAAGAGTTTCCTGTCGTGCAACTTAGCTGCAAATAATTTAAGAATAACGCGATGACATAATAATGAAATATTTATAGATTATTCCTATGTGAATCGATATAGTAGACGGCTTATTTCGCCGTACCTATTAGACTATAACGTGCCTAACAAACATAATGTGAAGAGTTTTCAGTGCGAAAAAACGAAGAAAAAGGTTGCTCTTTTTATTTTATTTTTTGTTATACATTACATTCATACCCTTTAAAATGACCACAAACCACCACAAAAGGCAGTTTCGGCCATTACGGTTTGGTTGTCGCTCACATCATATAAGCTCATTCAATATTGAAATGTCCATTGTACTATTCGTATTTTTTATGGTTTATGCGCAATTTCGTTAATACTGAATGAGCTTTCTTTCTGCAAAAAAAATATATAAAGAAGCATATTGGCAATAGAACAACGCCCACGAGCGAACTATAACTCAAGAGAACCTTCTCTATTGACGCAAAGAGTAAAAAATATAGTAAAATACTATCTTAAAACAATATTGTAATAAAGTAATATTTTGAACTCCTCTTCCCCATCCTCCCTCAAGTTACATATTGCGATTGGAAAAAATTGTAATTAGGTGGGCGTCACCATCAAACGGTATATGTTCAACGAGTTCCCATAAGTAGGCGTGGCAGTCATCATGTTACGACTTCGGGGTAGATGAAATAGATTTGGGGTGAGTACGGTAATTGGAAAATGATTCAATTACCATCTGGCTAGACATTGTGACCTCTCGTTCTAAGATTTAAATATGGCGTTAAAACAGGTAGGTTGGGATCATACATTTATTTTACTACTCTTGTAACCATTCAATTTTTACATTTCCTGTAAAATGACATAACTTCCTATTTAATACAAACCGTATCATCTATTTGTTATAAACTATCTTATGAATCAAATAATAATAAAAATTGTTCGTATTTCAACTATGCGTTCGTTTTTTGTACTTAGATTCGAATAAACGTGAAAAATTCGCAAAACTCCATTATACTTACATTATAATTTTTTTTTTAAGTAATTATAGAAATACTTGTATGATAATAAAATTCAAGCACGTGATTTGTTTTTTACGAACCATTCCACATCACTCGACAAACTTTTTTTATTTTCTAACTTTAAATAAATACTTACAATTTTAGGAAAAAAAACAGAAAAATAATAATAATAAAAACAAATGAGGATAATTATAACTTAACATTCATAACCAGAATACAAATGTCAAAAAAAATAACTAAAGTATTGAGAGAATTATTTGACGGCTAATGATAATTAATTACTCATAAAACATCATTACTGAACTTTGCGCTATTTGATTACGCTAAAAGCTTATCAAAAATAATTATAATATAGATTTATTATCATTTGCCTTTCTTCGCTTCCCATCATTAAAATAACTACATACTCCCAACATAAATATTTTTATCCCTTTAGATTTTCTGATCATTTCATATTCTGATATTTTCATGGCATTAAATCTTATTCTTTTTTCAAAAATGGTCATTTGGTTAATTTATTTTTATCGCTGTAATAAATTTTCTTCCATATTATCATTTTCTATTACATTAATTTGATCTGTTTTATCATCTAAACTTGTATAGTAATAATCCTCTATTATATTCATCTAATATGAGTGCATTATAAGTAAAATAATTGTTTTGCGTAGTTTCATGGAACCTAATAAAACTTAATAATAATATCAAACATTTTCCAATAAATATAATGTATTTTTGTGTAAAGTGTTTCATAATTTTAAACAGTTTTCTTTATTTTTATCGTATTTATTTTTAAATGAGAGACAGTAAGGGTGAGTTTTTAACATTTTAGTATTTCAAATATAATGCTTCCAGATCGAAACTCGGACACAGACGGTCTCGTTTGCTATTTGAGTGACAAATTGAACAACTAAATTGTGGCCATCAATCTCTCCAGTAATTTTGTTTTTTTTTAAATCTCCTATTATAAGCAAACTACCATTGTGTTTGATGTTTTCAAGTACAATTATTTTAAGTATATTTTTATCAGTATTTCAATCAAAACAGCTCTAAACAATATTCATTATTTGATATTTTTTGTAGACCGTGTTTTGTACCTACGGTTTTATACCATATGACAGTCTTAATAACAACTATGGTTTTGCATACTTAAAACGTCAAGCTTCATGTAGTTAATCGCGTTTGCCATCATTTCGTTAAAACTCATAACATTTGACAGTCCATCATGTACATAGAATCAATTGATTTATTATTAAAGAACAAAATTGAACTTTTCATCCAATAAACCATAGGGGAACACATATGCGTGGGCGTTATTTCTTTTTCCATGCATACCCTGTTTTAGTAGAAAACCCCACATTCAGACATTGTTCCCTTTAAAACGTCTGCGAACACAAACTAGGGTCGACTTTGTCACAAAAGGGTCGTTTTCCACCTATAGTTATTATAACAAGTATATGCAAATTTTATTATGTTTGCACAACAGCAGTGACGCCGGTAGCAATATAATAACGACAACAGTCAGACAACAGCGGTAACAGTTGGGTCTAATAAAGGTCTGTTTAATTCTTAGGTGGGCCACTTTTCTTATTGTGAGGAAGTGAATCCATAAAACGTGTAGATATATAAGATATATACTTTACAATTGAACCAATATAGTTCAAAGGCGTATGGAAGTTATTCTATTTTACGGAAATGGAGAATACTATCAAATTGATTGAATGTCAAAAATCATTGTTGATTTTCTATATATTTCTACGAAAAACCTTCCTCAAACTTACACATTTCAATTCTATATCCACGTGTATATTTGATCGTTTTAGAGCTGTGCCTTTAAACTATTTTCATTTCCTTTGGAATAAGAGACAAAGCAAAACAAACACTTTTCTTCGAAATAAGGTAACTACCAAAGGTTCTTTCTAACGTGATATTATTTCATCTCAAACATTTTATACTATTCATTAAAGTTAATGTGGAAATTGTTTAAAGGTAGCAGAAATATATTTGTGTTATCTATAATTCTTACCATTAATTAATGTAAACTGTAGTTTGAAGTAATTTTTATAATCTAAAATGTTTTTCTTTAATATTTTGTCTCAATGAACATTATTTCTTATAATACTATAGAAATTACTATCATACAGACAATTCATATGCTGATTGCACTGCAAATAGAACAAGATATTTTCGACATTAAATGTATTTTAGAAATAATTTTACGATACACTGGAAATAATTAAATCTATATTATCTAAGAGATTGAAATATACATTTTTTCTATCCACCTTTTCCTATATCTTTACTATTTATTTTTTTTGCACTGAAGCTAAATAAATCCCAATCACGTATGAACAAGTAAATTGACTTGAAAAAAAGAACATCTAGAGGAGTTCAATAATAGCACCGTAACTAAAATGCCAAACCTGTTTAATAAGCTTAATAATAAGTCGCTATTCTAAAAGTTTGGTATACTACAACTACACGATAATCTAAAACCATTTTAACTTTAACAATTCGGAAACATGTCAATGATAATTACTTGAACTTACATAGACGCACATGAGATAAACCAATAAAACTCCTTTTGGTAATTACCGAACAGCGGCCACGTTATTGTGTTCATAAAGCTAACACATCGTGATAAGAAAATGTTCAAAATTGTTTTTTTAAGTAAACAAAGTATCGTTTTGCTACAATAATAAATCCATTTCTAAAATAAACACCGAGAAAATGAAAAGTACGAAATCGACTGTGACTGAGTGTTTTGGAAAATCTCCGAACTTCATTGATATTTGTGTATTGAAGTTATGTTGAAAAAATTATAAAATGTCTACAAATAAAATGAAAATAGTTATAATCGTACCGATTTTTAGAGCTATTATATTTTACCTTGATGAATTTGAAAATTCAAAAACTAATTAAGAAATAACTACCTTTGAAGTGTAATTTGAATTAATATATGATCTAAACATTTTAAAGGCATACTAATGTAGTAATGTTACCTATGAATTAGATATTTATATAACAATCACAAATAAGAGTAAAATCTTAATTATATATAAACTGATTTTTGTATATTCAATAAATTTTTCAAATAATTATTCAATTATTTCATTAAAATAGATAGAATTTTGTTTATAAAATCTCTATGTAATCTTCTATATATAGTATTATAGTATATCTATATATATATATATATATAGTTAAATACTACTTAATTTTCAAAAACGAGTAAACAAAATAATTAAAAACATTAAAAGTAGCAAATTAGCCAACAATTAATTATTATAAAAGTGTCCAATGTATTTTCAAATATATTATTTCTACGATAGTAA